TGGTCTGGAACGCCTGGGCTCAAGTGATTATCCTGTCTCAGCTTCCCGGAGTGTTGGGATTACAGGTGTGAGCCACTGGGCCTGGCCAGTGTTCTGTACCTTTGAAAACATGTAAAGCACTGGTTCATTTTAGCCTTCACTGAGATATTAACAATGATATCTCCTAAAACTATAGAGTGCCTTTCTTAGAAATGTAGAATTCCTTGAAACATCTGGTCCTCTGAAGTTGGAGCTGAACTCGGAGCAGGCGAACATGAGGAAGAATCCCACTCATTGTATGGCTGTGGGGGAGCACAGCAGGGGCCGCAGAAGCGTCCGCATCCTAGTTCCCAGAGTCTGTGGCGTTGTCACCTAATCTGTGTGGGGTCTCCCAGGGCAGCTGGAGTGGATGAGCACAAAGGGGACCTGAAACAGCAGGAACCCACTTTCTCACAATCTGGAGGCCATCTGTCCCCACTTGGCCCCCTCCATCTGTGTCTGAGCATCCGTCTCCTTGGAAAGAGCAGTCAGTGGACGTCTGGCCTTGTTTGTGCCTGTTTCTTTATCCTAACGTGGTCACGCCTGCAGTACATGTTGATCACTTCCACATAGGGCCACATTCTGAGGTTCCAGGGGACACCACTCAGCGCAGCCCCCATCGTAATGGGGACTTGGTGGGTAAAGGTGCGGGTCCTGGGGCAAGGGGGCATCCTGGATCACCGAGGCAGGCTTTGTGTCATCACAGGGTCTTTGTACGAGGGGGGCCCATGGCAGGAGCAGGGGTGAGAGATAAGAGAGGCTGCATGTAGCTCTGAAGGTGGAGGAGGGCCCAGCAGCCGAGAAGGACAGTGGCCTTGGAAGCTGGAAGGCAGGGAGTGGACCCCTGAAGCCTCCGGGAGGCAGTGGTCCTGCCCACGCCTCGGCTGACAGAAAGGCAGCTCACGTTAATCCATTTTCTTCCATAGACTCCCCGAGCAACAAGGGCCAAACCTTTAGCTAGGGTCGTCCACCCACAAAGTCTCTATCCCTCCAGTCTCCTGGCATGGAGCCCACCTCCGTGTGTGTGTGGTGTGTGGGCAGAGGTTCGAGGACTCTGAGTAAGGACAGGTGTGGCTTGTCCAGATGTGCCAGTGCCTGGGTTGGTGCTGGCGGGAGAAGGTGGGCCCCACCTGTCACGGTCCTTTCCCGTTTGGCTTCATTCCGAATTCATTTCAGGAGCATTTATGCAGGGGCTCCCAGGGCAGATCGATGCCTGCTTTCAGTACCTGGAATTAGAGGAGTGTGTTCATCTCAAAAGAGTATTTTGCCGTTTTTCCAGTCTCTACTGTGAGGCCAGATCTGTACTCTCAGAATGGGGTCCTGGACGGCGGCATGTCTTCTGGGTCGTTTGATGCAGCTTCCCGGGTCTCTTCCTGCGGCCGTCATGTCTGGAGCTTCTGGCGATGCTCAAGTTTGAGGACTTCTGACCTGGAGCATTCCCTCCCTCCCCTTAGTGAGCATTACAGTCTTAAAGGTCGCTGCATCTGCTGATTTCTTAGCAGATGTTAAAACAACATTTAATAAGAGGTATCGATGTCCTTATTCACATTCTCATCTTTAATGTATTTATTTTTTGGTACGGAAAAATGGCATAACCTTCAAGGAAGAAATAAGGTTGTTGGTTTTTTTATGTAGTTGTTTAGCCTCCTAGATTGTCAGAGAAGCATTTATTTCTTTAACTGACAGGTAAGGATTGTATATATTATGTGTTTATGGGGCACAGCTCTTTATGTTGTAGAGTGATTCTCAGCCTGGCCACACATTATAGTCACCCGGGAGCTTCTCAGAAACCCTGACAGGTCTCCCACCTCACCTCCCTGTCCCCTTGCTCATTGACTTGGCTGCCGTGGGACCTGGAGTTGACGTTTGCCCATGTTCCCTCTGATTTTGATGCGCAGTTAGGGTGCAGGGCCTAACCAGGAAGATCATCTTTCTCTGTGTGAAGCTGATGGGTGCAGAACCTCACTAGGAAGATCATCTTTCTCTGTGTGAAGCCGATGTGTATGTATATATATTTGTTGTTGAGACGGAGTCTCACTCTGTCACCCAGGCTGGAGTGCAGTGGTGTGATCTCGGCTCACTCCAACCTCTTGTCTCCTGGGTTCAAGCGATTTTCCTGCCTCAGCCTCCCAAGTAGCTGAGATTATAGGCATGTGCCACTATTTCTGGCTAATTTTTGTACTTTTAGTAGAGATGGGGTTTCCTCATGTTGGCCAGGCTAATCTCAAACTCCTGACCTCAAGTGATCTGCCTGCCTCGGCCTCCCAAAGTGCTGGGATTACAGGTGCAAGCCACCACGCCCGGCCCTTTTCATCGCTGTTTCATATGGGAAGATAATGTGGCAGCTGCCCAACAGTGACCCTTTGAAGTGGCCTAGTCGTGTGGGAGGCTTGATCACCTGCTGCCCTTGACTGAGCCGCTGAGGAGCTTGTGAGGGTACATTTTTCCTGGGTTCTTTTTTCTCCCCCAGAGCCCACTTTAGGAAGGACTGGGTCCTTTGCATTTAGAAAGACAGGCGGCTAGAAGACGTTTATAATAAAAATGGTGAGGGTTAGGGTTCAGGTAACAATCACGCCTGTACAGGTCCATCTCAGCTCCTGACCATCTGAATGGGAGCTGAATTCCTGTTGAAATCTATGGATTCATCTCTTGAATAAATACATTTGCTTTTGCGATAGCTATGCTTCGTAAGGATGCTTTTTAAAGTGCATGTTCTCAGACACGGGCTTTGCGATTCCATGAGCAAGCTTGTGTCCCCTCTGGATCTGCATGCTGGCAGCCCATCTGGCCACACGGTTTCTCCGACTCACCTCTCGGGATGGTTTTGGTGGCTGTCGCAGACTAAAGGAGTTGGTACCTGTTGAGCAGAGGCTGTTGCTTCTGAAGTACAGCAGAGTCACCACTTTGAGCAACATGGAGAGCTTAAAGATCCAGGGAGGATGTCGCTTTAGAACTGGCATCCCAGGAGGCTGCTGTGTTTTTATTTCAGAAATGCTACGTTGAGGCAAAACAGGGAACTCCCGCTTTGTGATCGCCAAGCATCTGAGGCAGCCTCTTTGGGCATTCTTCAAAGCGGGAGCTGAGGGGAGGGGAGGAGAGGAGAGTGCACCAGGCTGACTAGTGTTATTTTTTCCCCCGGTATTTCGTGATGAAGTTTTGAAAATAGAAAAGTTGGCAGAATTGTCCAGTGAACCCCCATTTCACTGTCATCCAGCTGCCCTCTGTCCAGCCCTCCAGCCCTCCGTGGACTTACTTTCTGATGCATCTCACATCTGCAGGCCTCCGTACATTTCACCCTAAACACTTCAGTGTCAAGATCGATGCTCGTTTGCGGTTCTTGATCACACACCATCGAGATGTGACTGTGAAGCAGCAGGAGTGGCTTGGCGGTGTCCTGTAAACGGACTCAGGATTCCGTAAGGCATGGCCGGCAGCAGCCCAGGCTCAGTTAGGAACGTCCTACATGATGATCTGGGCTGAATCCTGGGAGCTGTTGGTGGAGTCCGGCCTCCTCTCCAAAGGCTGGAGAGGTTTCTCATTCCCTGTACCCTAGATCCGGGTGGGGGCCTCCTTGCTGCCGTCTGGCCTCTTGCCCTCCCTGCTCCATCTTCCTTCCTGTGGTCTAAAGGGGTCTTGCTCCTGCCGAGCAAACGGTGCTTCTGCTGGATTCCTGTGCGAGTCCTTGCTACTTGTCTTGTTGAGCGCTCAGTCATTCTGTGGGACCCAGGGTTTGTGGGCGCTTTCCAGGTACACAGGCGCCAGGCATGCTCCTCCTCCCTGCGCTGGTCTTGCGTGCTGCTCTGGTGGGTGTCCCAGGTGAGCGCGGGGCCCCCTCTCATAGGCAGCCCTCACGTGATGGTTCCCAGGACTTTCTGTCCCACCGTCAGGAGACCTGGGACCTGTGCTTGGCCCAGCGACCCAGATGGGTGAGGCTGTAACAGCCCAGGCCGGCCGCCTGTGTTGATCATGATGGGGAGGTGTCTGCAAAGCACCCTGTATATTCCGTATATGTAGAATATATATACAGGTCTGCATTCTCTACTCGCTCACCCCTTCTCCACCCGCCAAATGAGTTTCTATGCCCAGGCTCCACTGTCAGGGAACCCAGGCCTGGGCAGGGGACGTCACTGGGAGCCACCTTCTTCCCCATCATCACACTTGCTGCCTTCTCGTGCCGGGTGAGGCTTCCTGAATGATGGGAACTGGCAGTGGTGGTGAAGTGTGTAAGGCAGGCTTTATCAGGCATTTAGCAGCCAAGGGGTAGCTTGTAAATACGGATACAATGCAGGGGCTAGAGGCTGGGCATGTGAGGTGGAGAGGCAGCAAGGTTGGTGGCAGCCACATGGCAGAGGGCGTAGGGCCTGGCCAGGGAGCTGTGGAGAGAGGCAGTGGGTGGGCCGGGGGTTCAGGATGGCCTGAGGGGAGGCAGCTGGCACAGTGGCCCATACGCCATGTGGTAAAGGCCTAGGGAGGGCCTGGGGACAGCTTCAGGGGTGACCTGGAGCTGCTCAGGAAGAGAGAAGGCACAGCCTGACCTGGCCATTGGCTGGCAAGGAATGGGACAAAGATGTTTTGTCCTTGGCCTCTGGCAAGTGTGACATTGTCATTATTGGGATAGCTTTAAAGATCTGATTGTTTACGACATGCCTTGTAGTGGTGCCAGCGTCTCAGTATTTGGCAGGTCTGATCCAGCTCTCTATTTGCACCGCTTCTGTCTTATTCCTAGAAAAGAGATTTCCCCGCCTTGCTTGATTTCCCCCCACTGATGGGAGGCTCATCACTTTACGGGAGGCTTATTTTACTCAGGCTTTCTCGGGATTGTTTCATTCTGATACAGCTTCAGAGGCTCGGTGTGCATGTGTTTGGAGGGCTCGACTGCAAGTCTTTTGTGAGTCCTCCTGGGTCCTTCCTACCTCTTGGGGCTCCCTGGCTCCCTGTGGCATGCTGGGTCTAACAGAGGCTTGCTCTCTCTTCTCCTGTAGTGCTTCACCGATACAGACACATTTTGGGATTGTGGCAGCCAGATATCGGGCCATATGGAGGACTGCTGAACGTGGTGGTAAGTCCCAGAGCCTTGTGACGGGGTCTGTGCATGGGCAGGAGTGATGCCTTAAGTGGAGGAATTTGAGGTCCTCTTCTACCTGGGTGCAAGCTGGCCGACGTGTGCGTTGGAGGTAATTACCAAAAACTTCTTGCTGGGTCACTTTTCAGGACCCCTATTTTACTTTCCAAATGAGCAAAGATTCGCTTCGAGTACCACTTTGGCCTTTTGGCTCATCCTTGTACTTTCTGGTCTTAGAGGGTGGCTGCGAGGGCCTTTGCTTCCTAGATGCCGAGGCCCAATGTGCACTTGCTGGGGTGGTCTGGAGCCTGCCCTCAACCAGGTCCTTCCTTTCTGGGTCTTTGCCCCACATGATCTAGTTATGTTGTGTTCTGACGTCTGTTTCCTTGGGTTCTGTAGATCCCCTTCTGACCCCATGGTCTGGAAAGTGCTAGAATGTGCAGGTGGAAGTCCAGGCTGGTGGCAGAGTTGCCTCCGTTTCCCGTCTCCTGGCAGCCTGGTGTTGGGGTCTGAGGACCTGTGAGGACATTACTTTTCTGTTTCCTGGGTCTGCTGTGGCAGTGTCTGTCAAGTCTCAGGTACTTGATCATGGCCAGAGATGGAAGTCTGGTTTCTTTTTTATTAAATTCTCGTGTTCTGTTGATGTTTTCTTTCTCTTTGTCCATCTTTTTGGGTATAGTAGTGAAAGTTTGTTTCAAGTCTAGCCCTTGCCTTTTCTTCTGATCTCCAGGCATGCCAGGCATCCCTCACCCCTCACCCCTCACCGTGTGCCTGGGTGCTTGTCTGGGTGCCGTGGCCTGGTCTTCCCAAGAGGCCCTGGCCCTGGCCCTGGCCTGTGGGCAGAGCTGAGTCAAGAGCACCTGCTCTGTGTAGGCCCGGGGTGTGCACATGTCTCAGGCTTGGGGAGGTGTCTCATTCTCATTCCCAGTTGCTCTCCTTCCTCTGTAGGACCCAGGCAGAGGCCCTGGGTTCACTCTTTCCCCAGGCCCTGAGAAAAGGTCCTTCTGCCTTTTCTCTTCTTGGCTTTGTAAGCCACGCTTCACTCAGCCCCTTTGCCTCTCAGCAGCCACGCGGCTTCCCTCCTCCACCTCTCACCCCTCACTCAGGATTCCTCAGGTGCCTCATGCCGCTGCCTGTGCACAGTGTGGGGCTGTGTTCTCTGGTTACTGTCTTCAGCATTTGGCTGAGGTAGTCCTGGCCTCTGTGTGCGCCTCTCCAGCCTGCAGGTGCCAGGCACGGGCCTTCCTCCCCAGCCAGTGTTCAGTGGCCTCAGGAAGTGGGGAGAAAGCCCTGCCCCTCGGCCCCCGAGCCTGTCCCTGTTCCTCAGGGCCCTGGGTGCTTATCTCTGGGGTACCTTCATTGCTTTCGGATGTGTTCCGTCTTCTTTTCTGTTTTCTCTTTCCTTCCTCCTGGAATTAGGAGACAGTCTTCAGTCGTCGTGGCTATTCTTGGCAGAAGGGTACGTTTGATAGGAGCTCTGTGGCCAGGGCGAGGAGCAGGCGTCTGCTTGTAGTTTTAATTTCTATGCCATCCGGCCACCTGCCAATTTATGTTGAACAGTAGCTGCTCATTCAGCACAGTGAGGTCTGACTTTTCTTGGTATTTGAAGGTGTCTGTGTGGAGTGAGGATGTATTCTGCAGGGTCCACAGGGCTTGTGGTCTGCCCTCCCATCCTCTCCCCTTTCCTCCCTCCCTCCCTCCCTCCCTCCCTCCCTCCCTCCCTCTCTCCCTCCCTCCCTCCCTCCCTCCCTCTCTCCCTCCTTCCTGCCCTTACACCCTCCTGCTGGAACCTCTTGAAGGGAAGGCCCTGCCCTGACTTTGTTGAGCTCTGGGCTGGCACCTGGCCCCTGAGATGTCACTGTCGCCATTGCTTTTGCTGTGGTGAAAATCTGGCACTGGTGTTTGGCTTGTGTTCTGCTTCCTTTTGTGCGCTTGGACCAGGGGCTGAGCCCAGTGAGGGCAGGTGTGTCTGTCTCCGCGTGGCCTCTGCACAGGTTCTTCTGGGCCTGGTGTGCACAGCCCCTGGGCAAATGGCTACTCTTCGACTCTGGCCTTTGCTCCCCAGGTGGGGTTTGGGGCCGCGATACACATTCTCCTTTGTCATCTGATGGGAGTGGCCATGGAGAAGCAAGCTCTGCGTTTGTGGTGTTGGGCACTGCGTCCAGCTTTGCTTTTAGGATGTTTCTTCCAGGAGACCAGCCTGGCAGCTCACAGCATGGGCAGGTTGCTTTCCTTTCTTTTAGTGGAGAGAGAATGGTAATTGTTTTTCTTACTGACAGTAATAGAGTAAAAAAAAAAAACCCAAAAACCAAAAAGCAGCTTCTGAAAACCAGGGCATTGGGGAAAGTGGAGTCCGTGAGAGAACAGCACCAGCTCATGCTTGACCTGGGCTCATTAGCCTCAGAAATGATGGTATTCTCTCCTTGGTTGCTGGAGCTGGAAGTCTCGTTGGTTTCAGCTCTCCCAGAAGGGGATGACGCTAGGCTGTCTTTCCTTATAAGCATGTGGCCACTGTGCCCAGAGCATGCTGGGGCCACCCCACTTCTGCCTTTGCACAGTCAGTACCCAGACACGTGAGGATGCACGGGCAGCGCACTCCCTCAGCTCTTTCCACTCCTGAGGTTCTGCTCTTAGGGTCCTGGCATGTCTCTCCTCCCCTGCACTTTGGTTTTGAAGTAAATCCCAGGCCCGTGTCATTTCAGCTGTCCCTCCATGCAGCGCCCTAATAAAGGGGCTGTTTCCCGCATCTCCATGTCACTGCCACACCTGACAAAAGCGGCAATTGTTCCTTGTGTCCCCTGATGCCCAGGCCATGGCACCCTTCCAGATCATCTCAAAGGCGCCTGTGAACCGCAGTTTCTTCACCTCAGGATGCAAACGAGGTCCTTGCACTGCTATTGTTCACTTTCTCCTATTAGGAGATGCACTCTGTCTGGTTGAGCATCTCACCCCGTCTCACTTTCTGGATTATTCTGCCTCCTCCTGGTGTCTGCCCCCATCTTAGAGCTGGAAGACAGTGCCGGGCACTGGCTCGCATTCAAGGCAGCTTGAGGGTGGGCATGCACGTCCCAGGTGCTGGCCTGGCGGGAGCATCTCTGTGTGATTGCAGTGCGGGGCACGGGGGCAGGGGAGGGGTGGCTGTGCAGTGCTGCCTTCTTTCTGGCCCAGGAACTGCTCGTGGACCTTTCCTTATCTCCTCCTGCAGGTGGACGGCTTGTTCATCATTGGGTGGATGTACCTGCCTCCCCACGACCCCCACGTCAATGACCCCATGAGATTCAAGCCTCTGTTCAGGATTCACCTGATGGAGAGGAAGGCTGCGACGGTGGAGTGCATGTATGGCCACAAAGGACCCCACCACGGCCACATCCAGGTGTGTGCAGTGGCAGGGCTGGTCCTCACTGTCCCGGTGCTATCCTGTATGGGCTCCAGCCTGTATGGGCTCCTGCTTTGGTATTCTCAGCTGCAGACCTGGGCTATAGCATATCAGCAGGTGGGAGGGAGGCTCTGCCCTGCCCCACTGTGCATTGTTCACACCCCTGTGGTGCGGTGAACTCCAAAGGTCACTTGCCAGAGCCCTCTGTTGATTTCATTCTCGGAGCCGCTGGTTCTTTGCAACTTCAGTTCCTCTGTTTCTTTTTCTCCTGTTTGTAAGAATATCAGTGTGGAACTAAGTGCACTCTCTGCTGTCTGATTGGGTGTGGCAGTGGTCCCCATGGTGAGCATGGCATGTTATCTGTCACACAGTGCGTGTGAGATGCAGCCCTTTTGCTGCTGCATGTTACGCTGGGAAGTGCAAACACCCCTCTCTGGAAGTGCCACCACTTCAGGGAGACTCCATTCCCTCTGCTGGCCCCTCATTAGTTGCATCTTGGGTGCCTGCAGATGGGTTTGGTGGGCGTGGTGAGAGAGGGGTCATGGCCACCTGCCTGGCGAGTGAGGATGCTGTGGCGGATTCTGTGTTTCTCACTCTCGTCTTTCCTTGCATTGCGGACACTGAAGATTGTGAAGAAGGATGAGTTCTCCACCAAGTGCAACCAGACGGACCACCACAGGATGTCTGGCGGGAGGCAGGAGGTGAGTCCACGAGCTGGCCCTGGGTTCACATGATACAGACCTACCCTTTACCCACAGGGAAAGTTGAGACTCACGCGGGAAGGAAGTCAGCCACGTGCGACCTGCATGGTGGCCATTTAACGTGATTCAGCCCAGTATTGTCAGTGCAGTCAGGGCAGACACTTGAGAAACAGCATCATGTGGGCTTGTGTGCAGGCAGGCAAGTCGCCGGTCCCTCCACCCGCAGAATGATGAACCACACAGGTTGTTTCTTTAGTTAGCTGTGCCTTGCCGCTGTGGCGGGCATATCCACTTGCTGAGGATTTGCTGGGAGGCTACTTCTAGGATGGGGGTACAGGAGACCCCAGGGCCGCACCCAGGGCTCCTGTGTTTTCCACCCTCGAGCCTACTGTGTAGAGGCTTCTGGATTATGCCAGTGCAGTGGGGAGGCCTGCGTGTGATTGCTTGCCTGAGTATTTTAATACTGTCCTTGAGTTTTAGCATTCAAGGATCGAAGTCTTACTGCCATTTCAAAATATTCTTAAGAAGGAGGGGGCAGTGGCTCACACCTGTAATCCCAGCACTTTGGGAGGCTGAGGCAGGAGGAACACTTGAAGTCCAAAGTTCAAAACCAGTCTGAGCAACATAGTGAGACCCTGTCTCTACAAAAAACAAAAAATTAGCCTGGCATGGTGGCATGCCAGCTACTCAGGAGGCTGATGTGGGAGGATCATATGAGCCTAGGAGGTCGAGGCTGCAGTGAGCTATGATTGCACCACTGCACTCCAGAGTGAGACCCTGTCTCAAAAGAAAAAACAAAAAATTAATCAGGCACGCTACCATGACTGGCTAATTTTTTTTGTATTTTTAGTAGAGATAGGTTTATGCCATGTTGCCCATGCTGATCACAAACTCCTGGGCTCAAGCCGTTTTCCTGCCTTGGCCTCCCAAAGTGCTGGAATTACAGGTGTGAGCCACCATGCCTGGCAGGGTTTGCATTTCTTAGCCAGTTTGAATTTCTCGTGCTTTCCCTATCAGCCTGAGGACTGCAGAGAGGGTTAAGATGAAGCAAATGGGCCGGGCGCGGTGGCTCACGCCTGTAATCCCAGCACTTTGGGAGGCCGAGGCGGGTGGATCACGAGGTCAAGATATCGAGACCATCCTGGTCAACAAGGTGAAACCCCGTCTCTACTAAAAATACAAAAAATTAGCTGGGCATGGTGGCGCGTGCCTGTAATCCCAGCTACTCAGGAGGCTGAGGCAGGAGAATTGCCTGAACCCAGGAGGTGGAGGTTGCAGTGAGCCGAGATTGCGCCATTGCACTCCAGCCTGGATAACAAGAGCGAAACTCCGTCTCAAAAAAAAAAAAAAAAAAAAAAAAGATGAAGCAAATGTACTGTTTCTTGGGATCCTTTGCAGATAAGTGAGGTTCCTGTTTTCTCAAATAGATGGCATGTGAAGATTATAAATAATGGAACAATTTTTTTCATTTATCATGCTGTCATTTTAGATTTGATTTTATATACAGAAACATACAACATATGTGTGATTGCTGTGGCTCACATTTTTGTTTTTTGAGACGGTCTCACTCTGTCACCTAGGCTGGAAGTGCAGTGGCACGATCTCAGCTCACTGCTACCTCCATCTCCTGGATTCAAGCAATTCTCCTGCCTCAGCCTCCCGAGTAGCTGGGATTACAGGCACCTGCCACCAAGCCCAGCTCATTTTTGTATTTTTAGTAGACACAGGGATTTACCATGTTGTCCAGGCTGGTCTCGAACTCCTGACCTCAGGCGATTCACCTGTCTTGGTCTCCAGAGTGCTGGGATTACAGGCGTGAGCCACTATACCCAGCCTTGTGCTGTCACATTTAAGTGAAAAATGTCAACAGATTTTTCAAGAACAGAAACTCCTCAGCTGTTGAGCCCATAAAAAAGAAAACCATATTCTATTTCTGCTACGATATACTTTGGGATTAGGAAGAGTTCCTGTAAGCCGACCTCTGTGTGGGCTCACTGACTCTGAACTGTGGTAGTGTTTTTCCTGACTGTAAATATAACATCATGCCCCTTGTGGAAGCGAGAGAAACCCCCAGGAGTGAAGGTGAAAGCGGATGCTCTGCGGGAATCTCGATAGTGGTGTGAGTCGACGTTTCCCTTATTCTTAGCGAGGCCAGCCTCGTGTCTTGGGGTCAAGAGCTGTCTGGGGCTCTTTTTCATGAACTGTCTATTTTGTCATAGCCCATGCCTCCCTTTCTGTTTGGTGTTGGCGGGTTTCACGTGGGTTTGTAGGAGCTCATTAACTATTTGGAAACTGACGCCCATCCAGATAGGAGTTGCCAGGTTTTTTCTTTTTTGTCTTTGGATTTGTCTTACCATGTGTTTTCACCCAGGGAACTTTTTAATGATAAGATATTGGGGGTGTCTCACTTTGTTGCCCAGGCTGGTCTCAAACTCCTGGGTGCAAGTGATCTTCTCGCTGGCCTCCCAAAGTGCTGGGGTTATGGGTGTGAGCCACTGCACCCAGTCATGTTTAAAATTTTTACAAAAGCAGATGTATCTATCTTTCCTTAAAAGCCTCTCGGTTTAGTGCCTGAGATCTCTCCCCACCCTGATGTTTACAAATGAGCTTCTGCTTTTATCCTTCTCTTGTGTCTATGTCTGGTTCCATTGGATTTATTCTGATGTGAAATGTAAGGCTTAGCACCAGCCTTGGTTCTGTGCATCCTGCTCCATTATCTCCACACTGGATGTGGAATAACACTTTCTCCATCAATCTGAAGTGCTGCCTTTGTCCTAGGTTACCCTGTATATTCCGTTCATTTCTAGACTTGATATTCTGATTCTTATATCTGTCTACACATCAGTACCACACTATTCTAACTCTTGTAGTTTTATCACTACATTTTAATTTTATTTTACTTATGACTTAGTGACAGGGTCTCACTGTGTTGCCCAGGCTGGGCTCAAATGATCTTTTTTTTTTTTCGAGACGGAGTTTCGCTCTTGTTACCCAGGCTGGAGTGCAATGGTGCGATCTCAGCTCACTGCAACCTCTGCCTCCTGGGTTCGGGCAATTCTTCTGCCTCAGCCTCCTGAGTAGCTGGGATTTCAGGCACGCGCCACCATGCCCAGCTAATTTTTTGTATTTTTAGTAGAGACGGGGTTTCACCATGTTGACCAGGATGGTCTCGATCTGTTGACCTCGTGGTCCAGCTGCCTCGGCCTCCCAAAGTGCTGGGATTACAGGCTTGAGCCACCGTGCCTGGCCTCAAATGATCTTTCTACCTTAGCCTCCCAAAGTGTTGGGATTACAGCTGTGAGCCACTGCACGCAGCCTATCACTGTATTTTAATTGGCTGTGTTCCCTTCTATTTTGGAATGTTCCTGGCTCATCTTGTTCATTTGCTACATGAACTCCAGAAGTAGCTATTTCCCAGAAACATCCCCTTGTCATCTCTCCTTGTGATTGGAATCGCAGCTTACTTAGCATGACCTTACTTAGGGTCAGTATATGGGGCGCTGCCATCTGTGTGATGTCCACATCCCTGTCCAACGCACTCCCTTGGTTCTTCATGCTCCTGAGCTCTCCCTCTCAGAGTTGACAGGATGAGGGTGCCACTGTCCCAGGCAGGGCAGAGGCTGGCGCAGGTGACAGTGCCGTACCACCCATCCTAGAGTGACAGTGGCCTCTCCTCTCCTGCAGGGGTCCATGCCCTCCTGTGGGGCTAGTCACGTGGTCCCACGGTTACTTTATCTTGAGGCCTGCAGTGTCCTCACTGCTTTTCTTTTAGGTTGTGTGGGGGCTCAGGAGGGTAGGGCTGTCTGTGGATTTGTGCATTGGCTGGGAGCTCCTCTCCACTTTCTAGCTAAGTCTTTCAGGCCAGAGAGCAGGTAGGTTACCTGGAGAACTGGATTCCAGAAAAAGGACATGCCAGGATATCTGGACATGGTGACACATCCCGATAATTTTCACAACTGAGGTAAAAGATTGGGCACAGGAATTTGGGACTGCCCTGTGCTCTGCTGGTCAAGAACTTCTGGATCAGTGGTGTATGTCCATTTTCACACTGCTGATAAAGACATTTCCAAGACTGGATAATTTATAAAGGAAAGAGGTTTAATGGACTTAGTTCCATGTGGCTAACTAAGGAGGCCTCACAATCATGGCAGAAGGCAAAAAAAAAAGAGAGCACTTTTGCAGGAGAACTCCCCTTTATAAAACCATCAGTGAGACTTACTCATTAGCATGAGAGCAGCATGGAAAAGACCCACTCCCACCATTCAGTTACCTCCCACGGGATCCCGTCCATGATATGTGGGAATTGAAAGAGCGACACAAGATGAGATTTGGGTAGGGACATAGCCAAACCTTATCAAGCATGTTCCAAGGGAGTGGAGTCTTGTCTGCCCAGGGAGGCTGGAGGGGCTGGGCTGTGGACAGGGGAGGCTGCAAGGGCAGTGCTGTCTCTTTGGCATCCCTATGCCTCTATGTGGGTCACCTCTGCCCTGTGAGGTTGTTCCTTGCACCCAGGCTGCCTTACTGGCATGATCTGATGAAATTACTGGGGTTGTGGGTTCCCTCAACCCTGGGTCCTTGTGAGAAATACGACCCTCAGGCCCACCCAGACCTGGCCTTATCTGGATGGGTGCCGGGCCAGGCCAAGCTACCATCTCCCTTCCCATCCCTGTGTTTTAGACCCCTCCCTTCAGACAGAGGCTTTTGGATATCTAGGGCCTGTGAAGGGAGTAGAGAGAGGGGAGAATGGGCCACGCCCCTGTCCCAAGCAGCCATCCCTGTCACCCTCAGCCCCCTCTGCCAGGGCTGCTGTGAGGGTTGCGAGGACACTGTGTTTACTGACCAGGCTCTGGGTAGATGTGAAATTGATCGGTGTCATGCATGTCCTGGGCTGCCTGGTTTTTTTCTTGGTGCCTGTATGTGCTGCCCTGGTAAGTAGTTTCGTAATAAACATGCTTGGGAGGACCTCGTTCTGGTTAACAGGGCCTGGTTGGACCTCTTTATGCAAAGTGACATCATGGCTTATCTTCCTGATGGTGAGTTGAAGTCTCCTTACTCACGGTGGCAACACTGAACTCTTCGTTCGTTACATTCAGTTACTTTTGTTTCTATCTGTTATTTGAAGAGCCTTTCCTCCTTAAGTTCAGCCATTTTAATGGAAGGTTTTAATTTTGATGAGGTCTAATTTGTGAAATATTTTTCTTTTATGGTTATTTTTTGAATCCTAGAAAAGTCCTAAAAATTGAGTCCTAAGAAACTCACTTTGCAAAGGTAGGTTCCATTTCTTTTTTTTAAACATAAGTTTGGTAGCTTCATATCAGGTTCTGCATTTGTGTGGGCCTGTGGCCCATCTTGAATGATCCTGTGTGTGGTGTGAGGTGGGGTCGGGGTTCCTTCTCTATGTGAAAACCCAGCTGGAGAACCCCTGCTGAAACCCTTTCTTTCCTCAGGGGCAGGCGTGGGCACCTCCGATACAATCAGGCAGCTGGGTCCGCGCCAATGTTTCTGGGCTCCTGGCTCTTTTGGCACCTGTATGAGGCCTGAGGTTGGTGCCCATCTCATGATGGGAGCTTTGTATTGGGCAAGTCCTGAGCTGCCCGGTTCTCCTGCTTTGGTTTTGGTTTTCCTGATTGTCTGTCAAGGTTCTTTGCTTTTCCATAGGAATTTCAGCCTCGGCGAGTTCACTTTGCTCTAGTGCCTGGTGGGCTTGCGGTTGGCATGATGTCAGATCCATAGATCAGTCTGGAGAGAACTGCGCTTGGAATGGGGCTGAGATGGTGCTTAGGCCACACGCATGGTGTCTCCATGTACCCAGGCAGTTTTTTCTTTCAGTAATATTTTGTGGTTTTCAGAGTAGATCTTCCACCTATTATGTAATATGTCTTCCCAAGCCTTAAGTTTCTTGAGGATTTTGTGGTGCTAAGACATGAAAATCCAGGAGGCTTCTGTGTTGACTGTGTGGTCCTGCCAAGTGCTCAGTGCAGCCCCTGCAGTGTTTGCTGTTCTTTTGTTGGGAGGTTTGAAAGCGATTGACCTTAGTGGTTCCTCTTTTTTGTGAGTTGCTCATGTGTCCCTTTGCAGAGTTAAGTCTAGATCAGGACTCGAAACACTGAATTGAACTAGGAACTTGGAAGTTTGGATGAATTTTGTAAGTTGTGTTGAATTGAACCATCAAGCATGAAATATCCTCAGCACTGCGTGATGGCAGAATGCAGGATGGATTGGTGAGGCTGCAGAGTTTTGGGGAGCCCCTTAACCTACTTTTCCTTTGAAAAGTCATTGGCTGAGGGGTCAAGGGGTCAGTGCATCATCCTTGGCTGAGACTTGTGGCTCAGGGTTGGTGGTAAGGGGTCCCAGAACACTCAGGCTCCCAGGAGCCAGAGAGGCAGGCCAAGAGGCTGAGCTGTGCAGAACTAGTCTGTGTAGACGCTGTTCCTGCCCCACCGGTGGGCACAAAAGGGAATCCCACCTGGAGTTCTGGTTTCACCTGGACTCCCCATGGCCCCTGCTGCCTCCTGCCTAAGGGCCCAGGACCCTCACTTTGGGTTGGCAGTCACCTCTGACATGGGGTCAAACCTGGCAGCTCCCCTTTCTCTTCCCAGTGCCAAGTCAATTCTGCCCACCAGGAGGGCTCTGCAGGTGCAGGTTCGCTGACAAAGAATGATGCACTGTGTCTGCTCAGCGGCACATCCTCTTCACGGCATCCTGTCATACGGATGCTCATGGCCTGTGTTCTTTTGGAAGGAATTTCGGACATGGCTGAGGGAGGAATGGGGGCGCACGCTGGAGGACATCTTCCATGAGCACATGCAGGAGCTCATCCTGATGAAGTTCATCTACACCAGTCAGTACGAGTGAGTGCGGGGCCTTCCACTGGGTGCTGGGGTGGCCGCTTCCTGGTGGGTGTTGGGGCATAGTCCTCTCTCTCCCCTAGTGGGTGCTAGTATGCAGCCCTCTCTCCTGCTGAGGGCTGGGAGTAGGGCCCCTCTCTCTGTGGTGCTGGGAGCATAGTTCTGTGGATTGCTAGGGTACCGTCTTCCCTCTCTGGGTGCTCGAACACAGTCCCTCTCTCTCTCGACTGCTAGGTCACAGTCTTCTCTCCTTGTAGTGCTGGGTGCATAGTCCCTCTATCTGTGGGTACAGCCCCTCTGTCTCTGTGAGTGCTGGGACAGCCCTCTCTCCTGATGGTGCTGGGAACACAGCCCTTTCTTGGTGGTTGCTGCGGTGTAGCCCCTCTCTCTGGGTACTAGGACCAGTCATCTCTTTGTCAGTGCTGGGAGTGCAGCCCTTTCTCTGTGGGCGGTGAGAGCATAGCTCTATGGGTGGAGCAGCACAGCCCTTCTCTCCTGGTGGTGCTGGAAGTACACGTTCTCTCTCTCTCAATGCTGGGAGTGCAGGCTTCCCTGTAGCTGCTGTGGCACAGCCCCAGGCCCCTTCCTTCACCTGCGTGTCTGTTTTTGTCTGATCTCTTGTCACCCCTGCCAACACTCATGCTCTAGAGGGTGGCACTGCTCAGCCCGGTGACTTGGGCTCTTTCCTCCTGGGTGATGGAGCAAAGGGGCACTTCCTTTCCCCTCCCGCCTAAAGCTCTACACTGGCACTGATGCCTCCCTTCCCCTCAGAAGCCCTGTTGGAAGCATGCATGCAGGTGGGTGGGGGTGAGGGCTCCCCCAGGGGTGTTGCTGCCCACAGCTTGTTGGATGCCTGGCCCTGGTTGAGCTGAGCTGCCCGCCCTACCCCGCCCTGCAAAGCTTGGCCCTGGTGCCTTGTGCCTCTACAGTCCTGCTGCCCGGCCCTCCTGTGCTGACATGCCTGCTCCCCACAGCAACTGCCTGACCTACCGCCGTATCTACCTGCCACCAAGCCGCCCTGATGACCTCATCAAGCCAGGCCTCTTCAAAGGCACCTATGGCAGCCATGGCCTGGAGATTGTGATGCTCAGCTTCCACGGCCGGCGTGCCAGGGGCACCAAGATCACGGTGAGTGGTGGCTGTCCTGGCCAGCTGGGCTGTGGAGTCATGGAACTCTGGCAGACATAGATCCCCGGTGCCCTTGCTTCTGAGTGGGTTTGTACGCACTGCCCTGGGTGTTTGGGAATGCAGATTCTAGGGCCCCGGCCAGCCCCACTGAACTAGAATCACATTTCTATGAGACCCTCAGGGAATCTGTGTGCTTCCACACCAGCACTCAGCTCTGGCCACCCTGGGAGGTCGCTGTGGCAGTGGAGATCCTTGTACTTGCAGACAGCTCCCACCCTGTTGGGGCTTCAATGGCTCCTCTCCTGGGAGCGACCTGAGGGTGGGCTGCGTGGTGAGCCCAACAGTATTGCTCCTCTCCTGGGGCTGTGAACAGGGCTGCTGTGAGCAGAGGCTCATTCCCTACCAGGGCTGCTGGCACATGCTGCCTGCTTGCCCTGCATGGTTATTAGGGATCCTGGCAGACAGTGCTTGAAGGGGCAGAGCCTCTTCCTTGAGCCTCCAGGGATCAGGGCCACATCTGGCACGATGGAGCTTTCCCTGGACTCCAGTATTTTGTCTCCTGGACTCCTCATGGAGTTTTGGGGCTGAAGGATCTTCCTGGGGTTCGGCTCCTAAGCTGTGCCTTTCAGGCAGACAGATCTTGGCCGTCCCTTGGGCTGCTGCCTGGCTCTGAGATGTTCTTTGAACTTCTCTGGGTGTGGTTGAGCCAGTGTGAGCCAGCTGCTGTCCTCAGGGTCACTCATAGGTGTCACCGGCCCCCACCACTTTCTAAGGGATTCTGAGACTTCCTCTGTAAGGGATTCTGCTAAGTCAGCAGGAGGGCTGGGGCCAGCTTGCTCAGCCATGAGGCTGGATCCCACACAGTGGTGCTGCCACTGCTGGCCCTAGCCCTGCTGACCGCCACCCGCTCCATAGGGTGACCCCAACATCCCCGCCGGGCAGCAGACAGTAGAGATCGACTTGAGACACCAGATCCAGCTGCCTGACCTCGAAAACCAGCGCAACTTCAACGAGCTGTCCCGCATCGTCCTGGAGGTGCGAGAGCGGGTGCGCCAGGAGCAGCAGCAGGAAGGCGGGTATGAGGCAGGAGAGGGACGTGGCCGACAGGGCCTCCGGGAGTCCCAGCCAAGTCCTGCTCAGCCCAGGGCAGAGGCACCCAGCAGGGGCCCAGACGGGACACCTGCTGAGGACGGCGGTGAACCTGGGGATGCCGCTGCTGTGGCCGAACAGCCTGCCCAGAGTGGGCAGGGGCAGCCATTTGTGTTGCCCGTGGGTGTGAGCTCCAGGAATGAAGACTACCCCCGAACCTGCAGGATGTGGTAAGGATGTGGTGGGCACTGGGGCTGGAGGGCGGGCCAGCATGGGCAGAGAGGGTCTGTGACCTCACAGAGGGTAGCAGCTTGGGCTTTGGGACACAAGTGGGGCCAGACTCTGACCCCTTGGAACATGTCCCTTAGTCCCTTAGCACCTGAGTAAGCGGCTGCACAGCTGTATCCTGTCTTTCCACCCCTTCTGGGGGACCTCAGAGCTGCACAAGGCCTCCAATGCCCCACATCCCTGCAATAGTGCCACTCCACTAGGGCTTCTAAATCGACTTGTTTCCAGGTAATCACGTGAAAGATCAGGTGAAGTGTCCAACAGCTTTGAAAGCAGGAAACAAAGTCCCATTCCCTACCCACCCACCCACCCTGTGGAAAGCCCACTTTGGTTTGCCTGGGTGTTGTCCTGGGTGGCATCTTTCTGGGCACCTTTGGCCATTTCTCCATGCATGCAGTTCAGATGTGGGTATTGCTTTCCTCCTCTCCCTCCTCCATGCCTGCCCGCCTCTGCTGGTCCAGGCCAGTGTCTGGGTGGCCAGTGGAGTGGACACCAGCTGAGACTGCATGGCAGGTGCTGGCACTGCTGCTAGCCCTGCAGGGCCTGGGCTGCTGACTCGGGTTGAGGCCTGCACAGCGCCAGCTGTTGTCTTACTGACTTTTTATACAGTCGTCAGTATAATATGTATACTGCAGTTTATGTTTTATACACTGTCTGCAGTGGCCAGGTCCCCTTCCATTCAGGTTGCTCCTCATAGATGAACAAGGCCCTTGCCCTGTGTTCTTACCCGTTAGGGCTGTTAAAGTTTAAATGAACTGAAATGGAATGAAATGAGAAATCCAGGCCTTCAGCCACCCAGGCCATGTTTCAAGTACTTCCTGGCCACATATGGCTGGTGGACAGTGCAGCTCTAGAACATTCCATCAGCAGAGGGTTCTGCCAGACAGTAGCCTTGGGGGTCACTTTGAGGGTCTTCCTGCCACTGTCACGTTACTAGTTATTTTCCTTTTACCCACAAGCCATGTCACCATGTGTCTGCATTTCCCACTAAACTTCCCATGATGGAGGGAGGTGTCACCAGCCCAGCTCCCAGATGGGGCTTTCTTCATGTTCACATGTCTAACGGTGACTGAGGAGTTTGCAGAGAGAGGCATACAGATAGTATTGTAGTGTTGTGTAAATGTTTGAATAGCATAAAAGGAAAAAGCTCTGCTACCCTTCAAAAATGTCAAAACTCCTAATACCTCACAACCGGCTCAGAGCCAGTTTGCAGGTCACAGCATGTGCTGTGGCCACTGACCAGAGAACCCTCCAGCCCCTCTTCCCAGCTAACCTGCAGGACAGTCCACCCCATGCTGAATATGGGAGCTCCCCGGGCCTTCCCTGTCTGGTTTATGGGTCTGAAGGGCCTGGCCACAGCATCTGTACAGAGAATGCCTCTTGCTGTTTTGCGAGCACAGTGCTGACGACTGTACCTACCTCTCGGCCCTGGTCCAAGGGGGCACTCCCCCGCCAGGCCTTTGGAGCCTTTGTGGCGGGGTGACTCTCGCCGTCTGTTGGAAGAATTCGGCTGCTTGCAGGACAGCCGTAAGTGTCTCCCCGTTTGATGCTGACCTCAGAACCATAAATGGGTGTTTGCAAGTTCTTCGCCGAGTGAATGTCAGCTGCTGGCTATCTGTTATACCTCATTGTTTGTATGGGGACATAACTCCCAGAAATGAAGATTTTTCCATGTTGGGCCTGGTATGAAATGTGTGTTTGGAATAGAACTCTTTGGGCCTGCAGAGACCTCTTGTTTCAGTTTGGTGAGGCAGCACAGCGTGCAGTCAGTGAGTGAATCCCTCTCCCAGGTGCTGCGCATCAGTGCCCATACCCCAAGCAGCCCGGAGGTCTGGCCTCTGCGTCCATCATCAGGTGGACTTGACCTGTGCCCTTAGCTACCCCTGCAGAGGCAGGCTCAGCACACACCCCCAGCTACCCTTGCAGAGAGAGTTTCAGCCCGCACCCCGAGCTGCCCCTGTAGAGACAGGCTGGCTCTCGGAGTCAGCTTGTGGCTGATGAATAGTGGATGTGGCTCTTGTGGCACGGAGGGACATCCCAGAATGCCAGACTTGAGGTGCATTTGACTCAGCCCTCCCCCAACTCTCACTTAACCTCTTGTCTCTATTCAGTTTCTATGGCACAGGCCTCATCGCGGGCCATGGCTTCACCAGCCCTGAACGCACCCCTGGGGTCTTCATCCTCTTCGACGAGGACCGCTTCGGGTTTGTCTGGCTGGAGCTGAAATCCTTCAGCCTGTACAGCCGGGTCCAGGCCACCTTCCGGAACGCAGATGCGCCGTCCCCACAGGCCTTTGACGAAATGCTCAAGAACATTCAGTCCCTCACCTCCTGACCAGCCACATCCCGGGTGGCTTTGGGGCTCTGGACTCTGACCTGTGAATAGAAGCAGCATGCACTTTGGAAATGCAGCCTTTTGACCAGAACGCACACCTCGTTCGGGGTCCCAGCCCGGCCACACCCCAGCACTTTATGCAGAGAGTGACAGACCTGCGTATTTGTCAGTGCCATGATGGAGGAAGCTGAGCATGTCTTACCAAAAAAGAGAATGAACTGGAGTACAGTGGGTCTAGGGGGCCAGCTGCGGGACCGTGAGAACTGAAGCGGTGGGGTTGCCTCACCCTGGCTGGCTGGCGGTTTTCTCGGGACACAGGACTCTCCTCTGGCGCACTTTTCCTGTGAGAGGATAGAATGATAGAATGGGTCGTGTGTGAGACACATGTGCTCCACCCCACCCCTGCTGGGGGGAGCCAGGCAGAAGTGGCCTCTGGGGAGGGAGTCAGGAAGAGAACACCCAGGCAGTGCAGGTGTGATGGGCACAGCGTGTGGAGAGCAAGTTTGGGAAGTTGGTGGGATATCAGGGTTGGGGGCGGACTCTGGATTGAATCCCATCTCTCTCTCGGCTCGGTCAAGTTTGGACAGAAACATTTCACCTCTGACCTCAGCTTCCTCACCTAGGGAGTGGGTGTAGTGACCCGAGTCACTGGAGAATGTCAATGTGAGTGCACAACCCGGCTGACACACCTGCCCCGGCCCCTCTTCTCCAGCTTTGGAGCCAAGGCCTTTGTTCCAGCTACTTGACTGTCCTCGTCAGCCTGTTCCAGACAGGGCGTTTTGTCCTTGCTTTCCTCCATGCACGCACACGTTGTCAAAACCAAGCTGCCAGCCATTTTCTCTAGAACGCAAGGCTCCAGGCTCGCATTTCTGAAGCAGTCCTTGCATTTCTCTCCTGTGAGTGGTTTACTCAAGTGCCAGAAGTGCTCATACGAGATGATGAGGAATTTCCTTTGCAGTTGAGGGGACAGCTTTCTTGAAAAGCCACACCTATGTCTGGGGACACATTTTGCAAAGCAGGACCCCCTGGGGACCCTCCAGCTTGGAGACTCCATGCACCGATGCCTCCACTGCTGTGTTCTCCATGTCGTGTTAACACCTCTGTGTGGGGACCCCATCGAAACTCTTGGCTGAGGTTGGCATCTCCTGAAGAACAGGGAGCACGGTGTCCAGAGCTGACTGTTGCCCTAGCCCGCAGCCAGCTCTGTGCCCAAGTGGGTATCCCTGGTGAGTCTTCCCTTTCTGCCACTAGTCCTTGTGCTGGGTGCCCTGGACACATCCTTTTGGTGAGGGACCTTGGGAAGGTGACAGTCTGTGTGCCTTTGTCTGGAGACCAACCTGAGAATATCCTGGGAAACATTTTCCTGATCAACTTCTGACTGGCCTTTAAAAAAAAAAAATTCCCACTGCCCAGCCTCAGTGCATTTGGCAAATTCTTACTTGCTTCCCAGAATCAGAAAATTGGCAAGGTCCTTAAATGGTAATCTGGCCTGCCTGGGAAAAAGACTCAGGAGAAAAGCCAGTGGAGAAGGTGACAGTAGGGCTGCCCACCCAGGAGCCATGCAGATTCCGAGGCGCACCTGCCAGCTCCGTGTGGCCAGTTTCTAGCAGCTTTTGCAGCATTAGCGTACACGCTTTGTCACTCCTTGCCCTCTGTAGTGGTCACTATTTTTCTCTCATGCCAAATGATGCAGTCCCTGAGGGATGGTGACTTGTGGCCCTGAAGCCTGGGGGGACCTTCGGGCATGTAGACTGGCACCCTTTAGGGTTTACCATTGTTTCAATAAAATCAAGAAAATGCATTTTTGCCAAGAGCCTGAGTCTTGCTGTAAGGGACCCTGTCCCTCAGAGGCATGCCCTTTGGGGCCTGAAGAGCACACTGGTGGGAGACGAGCACTTCTGATTAAAGGACTCTCAAATCTCAACTATGCTTCCCGTGTTTGGGTGCATAAATGGTTTCCACTCAGAAAGTCTCAAATAGCTATGGGCTGTAAGTCAGTTCATGTGGCTTCTGGTTCTGGTGTATGTGTTGTGGGGGTTTTTCCATGGTGGTGACCTGTGGTGATGCCAGGCAGGGCTGGAGCCATGCAGCCGGGAAGGGGAGGCCTTCTTGGCCGCACAGCCAATCCCTCCCAGTCATGACTATAGGTCTTGTTTTTTCCACTCTGCTGTGTCCTTAGCCAGTTCTTGGCTCTGCTTCTGTAGGGACAGGCACAGAGACTGTGTGCCTCCAAGCATGGCAGCTTCGCTCACTGGGGAAAGCAGCCACCCTCTCAGAGGAACCTGCAGTTGGTCCATTCCCTGCAGGTGAGGACTCGGAAGGGCTGATGTCATCATCAGAGGCCTAAGGGCAGCTGAGATTTAGATAGAACTGTTTTTAAGGAGGTTGAGTAACCCAGTTTGCGACAGCCAAGCACATTGGAGCTTGACTGGGAAGGTGGCAGGTGGAGCTGGGAGGTCGGTGCTCTCCATCTTTTGCCCCAAAGATGCTTTTCCTCGCCATCTCACTCCTCTGGGGCAGGATCGAGTCTGCTGTCTGGATGGAAGGTGGCTACCTGCAATGCAGCTCTGCGCACCTGAATGTCCTCTTTGTCACTCGTTTGGAAATGATGTGATTGAAGATTTTAGACAGGTCACTGGGGACTTTTCTGTACCAGCACTGAATGTTTGCATGAGGAAGCTGCAAACATCTGTAGGCTGAGATTCAGGGCAGGTGGTATTGGGGTCCCTCAGCCCATCTGACCTGGGCCCTGACCTCAGGGCCTGCTGCTGAATGTGAGTGGCTTTGTAGGCCTGGTGGTGGGAGAGCGTCAGGCTCCCTTCTTTCTCATTCCTGACCATGCCCTGGGCCCCTTCGGCCTGGCTGTGGCTCTGTGGCAACCCTGCCCTGACACTGGCACCTGTGTCCCTAGCAAGCCCACCTGGCACACAAGGGAGGGGTGGGCGGTCTTGGCTTTCCTCTAGCCACATGCCCTGCTGGCCACTCCATTCCCAGCTATGTGCAGAACTGGGTGAAAACTGGAGTTTTTTCTTTGAGAACTTGGGAGTTGTGCTGTAGCCGTATGCGAGGGCCTTCCAGCTGCTGGCTCTGACCTCCCTGACTTGGAGGTTTGTTCACTCCCAGGCTTTCTCGTCCGCACATGGTTAGGCCGTTTGCAGTGCTTGTGAGCAGTCATGGACAGCAGCAGAACCTTCATTACTTCAGAACACCCATCCACGTGCATCTCCTGAGCTCCTGTTGTTCTCCTCATGGCTGTGGGGGTCTCGAATATGAACAGGAGACACCGAGCTGCGGTCCACCATCCAAGGCTCTGCTGAAAGCTGCTAGGCCCTTCTAGGACCTTTCTATTCTGGTTGCTACCTTCATGGTGTGACTTTTAATAATGCTTACGGGAATGTGCTCATAGAACTGCCACCTGTCCTGAGAATAGAGCTCTTAGAATCACGATGAGGTCCCGTGTTAACGTAGACTGACCTGTCTGTGTTTCCAGGGAGAGACCAGGAACATCACTTGACTACACATCCTCAGCATTTTTTGTTTTTTTTTTGAGATGGAGTTTTGCTCTTGTTGCCCATGCTGGAGTGCACTGGCGTGATGTTGGCTCACCGTAATCTCTGCCTCCCTGGTTCAAGTGATTCTCCTGCCTCAGCCTCCTGAGTAGCTGGAATTACAAGCATGCGCCACCATGCCTGGGTAATTTCTCCATGTTGTTCAGGCGGGTCTTGAACTCCCAACTTCAGGTGATCTGCCTGCCTCGGCCTCCCACAGTGCTGGGATTACAGGCGTGAGCTGCTGCACCCACCCCAGAATATTTAGAGTAGAAGAAAGCAGATGATGATTTCTGTTTGGCTGATACTTTTTTGAGACAGGTTCTCACTGTTACCTGGGCTGGAGTGCAGTGGCATGATCATGGCTTACTGAGGTCTCAACCTCCTAGGCTGAAGCAATCTACTCGCCTTAGCCTCCCAAGAAGCTGGGACCAGAGGCACCCATCACCATGCCCGGCTAATTTGTTTTTGTAGAGATGGGGTTTTGCCATGTTGCTTAGGCTGGTCTTGAACTCTTCAAGCCATTCACCCGCCAGCCTCCCAAAGTGCTGTGATTATAGGCGTGAGCCACTGCACCCAGCCTTGGCCTGTACTTTGAATGGGGATGAGACTGTGCAAACCATGGAATACCTGTGTCACCCACAGCTCAGTGGCCTGCATGCCAGGAGACCAGCCAGAGCACATGAGGTCAGAGCCATGTGGGTTTTGGGCTGATTCTGTATTTGGTTGTTCCTGGAGGTGACATAACCTGCCTGCAGAAGGAAAGCGCTGTGCCATCGATTGTGAGCCCCTTCGTACCCCACTAGTAAGGTGACCTTGTAGCAGGAGCTGTGCTCTGCCTGGGTAGGCACCCACTAGGCAGGACTGGAGCAAGCCCAGCAGCTGCCACCTGCACCTGTGCACTTGTATTTCTCCTCACCATTTTAAGTAAATCTGTTTTTCAAGCCTTGTTGTGTGTTTCGTAATTTGTTTCTTTGGGATTGTGATTCAGATGGAGGCGGAGCCCTAAGCCATGCAGGCTGTCAGTCCCGGAGCCCAGACTTCCCAATCTCTTCTTTACAAAGTGTCCAATTTCCCGCACTGACAGAAGGGAGCATTGAAGGGATGCCTTGGAACCCAGACAGTGGTTGTCCCTGTGTCCTTTCCTTTGACCTGGCATCAGAAGGGAGGACCCCATTCCCTACCCAGGGATCCGAAGGGAGTGGGGCCCAGTGGGCTTTCTTAGATTTAAGCTGAAGTGAGTTGCACTATCTGAAACCAGGATAGAACAGGACAGATATGGGAGGGACTATGCTCGGAGCCATGCAGACGAACTGAGGCTCTCACAGATCTCTTTTTTCTGTTTTCTAAAGTAATATGTTATTGTAAACAGTTCAAGTCTTTAGCATAGACAGTGAAAGTACCTCCTGTTCTCATCCCAGCCTCCCCATGAGTCACTGCTGCTAATTAATGCTGTTAGCTTGGAATTGAGAAAAAGATGTTTTCATGGAAATGCACTCAAAGTACACCATCGACTAGCAGAAACTGGCAAGTGTGATTTTCCAAATGTTGGCAGTGATGCAGGGGAACAAACGCAGGTAGGGCGGCTGTTTGGGGACAGCTCAGCTGGTACTAGCTCATGGCACTAAGGACATGCCCAGGAACTGGCATCTGCGTCCTGAGGTGTCTATCTTGGGGAAGCACGAGCCCAGGCATGGGCCACACAGGGATGTTCACTGCTACACTGTGACAGTCACTGGCCGGAAGGAGGTGGGTGGACTATGGTGGAGCCCCCCTTGGAGTCACACGGCAGGCGGACACACAGCCTTGTTCCATTGCAAAATGAGTAAAGTGAGAGGTGGTATTTGTGTAACATGTAAAAATGCAAATACTTAATTTTTATCAATTCACATGTGGTGAGAAGCTGAAGTTAGTGTGGGAATGGTATGGTCACATCTAGAGGTGTTAAAGGGCAGAACCTCAACTCTGTTTTGTTTTAAAAAATAAGGCTCATATGGCAGAACTAGCATCTGTTCGCCTATTGATCCTGACACCACTGATTATGAGATCTCCCTCTTTTCTGCGTGGTTCAGAGACCAGCCCCTCAGGAAGGACACAGTGCCAGGAACAGTGACCTGCAGGCCCACTCGCTGCCATCCCCACTGGCCTGCCAGCTGCGGCTGCCTCCTGGGCCCTGAGCACTTTCCTGGGAGAGTAGGGGATCGTGGGTCCCTGGTCCCTGGTGGTGGGCGCTTCCTTCTCCGGGAAGAGTAGTGGGTCATGGGTCCCTGGTCCCTGGTGGTGGGCGCTTCCTTCTCCGGGAAGAGTAGTGGGTCATGGGTCCCTGGTCCCTGGTGGTGGGCGCTTCCTTCTCCGGGAAGAGTAGCGGGTCATGGGTCCCTGGTCCCTGGTCCCTGGTGGTGGGCGCTTCCTTCTCCGGGAAGAGTAGCAGGTCATGGGTCCTTGGTCCCTGGTGGTGGGTGCTTCCTTCTCTTGGAAGTAGCGGATCATGGGTCCCTGGTCTCTGGTGGTGGGCGCTTCCTTCTCCGGGGAGAGCAGGGGATCTTGGGTCCCTGGCGGTGGGTGCTTCCTTCTCCAGGGAGAGCAGGGATCTTGGGTCCCTTGGCGGCTGGCGCTTCCTTCACAGGTTTGCTGTTGTTTCTAGGCCTTTCTTTGGGGCCTGGGTCCTAGCCATGGGGTCATCCTCAGCTGCGTGGGCCATGCCAACCACATACGAATCACTTGCTACAAGCAGCACCACACAACCTCCTGTCTGGACAAGACCCTGCACCCTGCAGACTGAAGATGCACCCTGATTTCCCAGGTCACACGGGGAAGTGTGGATCTGATAATGGACTAAGTGCGACATCTTTAAAACATCTCATGTGTTTTATTTTAAAATGAAAAATACCAAGTCATGGGGAAGGAGTAAAACACTGCTGCCTGCTACAGTTCCCCTCTTGCTCCAAGGGCATGGACGGCCCAGATGGGGGACCTGCTCCCGGCCTGGGTGCCATAGCCTCACCTAGATGCAAGAGCACAGGCTTTGTTCTCCAGCGATCTGTCCAACACCAGCATCACCCCTGGGGCTCGGGCCCTGGACTTTTCTGTCTGCTGCTGGGGCTGAGAAACAGCAGATAGGCAGCGAGGCTGGTGGCTGCCCAGGCTGGCCGTGTCCAACACCAGAGGATGAGGCAGAGTCTGAGAGGGGGTCGTGGCTGGGTCACCTGGTCCCAGATGGCGCTCACTCCTCCCTGTGGGGGCCGCTTGGCTGCACTGCCCTTGGAGGCATGGTGCTTTGCCCACCCAATGGATAGCATGGCTTTGTGCTTCCTCCCCTTGCAGGAGGCGGTGTGCCTGGGGTCCTCCCTTTCTCCCTGCTCCTTAGAGGAGGCCCCTTTTTGCTGTGTGACCTTCAGTGGGCACTTAGGGTCATTGCTGAGGGCTTGCCCCCACCCAGCAATGTGAAACAAAGAGTGCCATTTGGATAGTTTTCAAACTTAACCCCGTGCCCTCCCCATTTTGACTTGAAAATTCCTGAGGACGGGATCCAAATGGCCGAATAGCAAGAGCTCTGGATTGCAGTTCCCAGCGAAAACGCAGAGGCCCCTGCAGGTGATCCCCAGGCAAGCAGGGTCTGGAGTGGACCCTGCAGTCCTACAGCAGAGGGGCCTAACTGTTAGAAGGAATACTAAGAAACAGAAAGAAATAACTTCATCATCAACAAACAGGACATCCACTCAGAGACCCCATCTGAAAGTCACCAACTACAAACACCACAGGGAGATAAATCCACAAAGATGGGAAGAAACCAGCATAAAAAGGATGAAAACACCCAAAACCAGAATGCCTCTCCTCCTCCAAGGGATCACAACTCCTCACCAGCAAGGGAACAAGACTGGATGGAGAATGAGTCTGATGAATTGACAAACAGGCTTCAGAAGGTGGGTAATAAGAAACTTCTCTGAGCTAATGGTACATGTTTTAGGCCAATGCAAAGAAACTAAAAACCTGTAAAAAAGGTTTGACGAAATGCTAATGAGAATAAACAGCTTAGAGAGGAATATAAATGAATTGATGGAGCTGAAAAACAACACAAGAACTTCGCGAAGCATACACAACTTTAAATAGCTGAAATGACCAAACAGAAGAAAGGATATCAGAGATTGAAGATCAACTCAATGAAATAAAACAAGAAGGCAAGACTAGAGAAAAAAGAATAAAAAGAAATGAACAAAGCCTCCAAGAAATGTGGGACTATGTGAAAAGACCTAATCTACGTTTGATAGGTGTACCTGAATGTGACGGAGGGAATGAATCCAATCTGGAAAACACTCTTTAGGATATTATCCAGGAAAACTTCCCCAACCTAGCAAGGCAGACCAATATTCAAGTCCAGGAAATACAGAGAACACCACAAAGATATTCCGCAAGAAGAGGAAACCCAAGGCACATAATCGTCAGATTCACCAGGGTTGAAATGAAGGAAAAAATGCTAAGGGCAGCCAGAGAGAAAAGTCAGGTTACCCACAAAGGGAAGCCCATCAGACTCACAGTGGATCTCTCAGCAGAAACCCAATAGGCCAGAAGAGAGTGGGGGCCAATATTCAACATCCTTAAAGAAAAGAACTTTCAACCTAGAATTTCATATCCAGCCAAACTAAGCTTCATAAGTGAAGGAGAAATAAAATCCTTTACGAACAAGCAATTGCTCAGAGATTTCATCACCACCAGGCCTGCTTTACAAGACCTCCCAAAAGAAGCACCAAACATAGGAACAACCAGTACCAGCCACTCCAAAAACGTACCAAATGGTAAAGAGCATTGACACAAGGAAGAAACTGTGTCAACTAACAGGCAAAGCAACCAGCTAGCATCAGAATGGCAGGACCAAATTCACAAATAACAGTATTAACGTTCAATGTAAATGGGCTAAACGCCCCAATCAAAAGACACAGACTGGCAAATTGGATAAAAAGTCAAAACCCATCGGTGTGCTGTATCCAGGAAACCCATCTCACATGCAACGATACACATAGGCTCAAAATAAAGGGATGGAGGAAGATTTACCAAGCAAATGGGGAGCAAAAAGAAGCAGGAGTTGCAATCCTAGTCTCTGATAAAATAGACTTTAAACCAACAAAGATCAAAAGAGACAAAGAAGGACATGACATAATGGTAAAGGGATCAATATACCAAGAAGAGCTAATGATCCTAAATATATATGCACCCAATACAGGAGCACCCAGATACAGAAAGCAAGTTCTTAATGACTTACAAAGAGACTTAAGACTCCCACATGATAATAGTGGGAGACTTTAACACTCCACTGTCAATATTAGACAGATCAATGAGACAGAAAATAAACAAGGATATCCAGGACTTGAACTCAGACCCGGGACAAGCAAACCTAATAAGACATTTAGGTTTGAATAAGAACTAATAGAACTCTCCACCCCAAATCCACAAAATATACATTCTTCTCAGCACCACATCACACCTACTCTAAAATTGACCACATAATTGGAAGTAAATCACTCCTCAGCAAATGCAAAAGAACGGAAATCATAACAAACAGTCTCTCAGACCACAGTGCAATCAAATTAGAACTCAGAAATGAACTCAGAACCGCACAACTTCATGGAAACTGAACAACTGGCTCTTGGATGTTGACTGGATAGACAATGAAATGAAGGCAGAAATAAATGTGTTCTTGAAACCAACGAGAACAAAGACACAACATACCAGAATCTCTGGAACACATTTAAAGCAGTGTTCTGCTTTAAAGGAAGACAGATGTCTAGAGGACAATATATAGCAATAAATACCCACATGAGAAGTAAGGAAAGATCTAAAATCGACACCCTATCATGAAAATTGAAAGAGCTAGAGGAGCAAGATCCAAAAAACTCAAAACCTAGCAGAAGACAAGAAATAACTAAGCTCAGAGCAGAACTGAAGGAGACAGAG